ACGCTAACCTCTAGTCTCCGCATTTTTAAACGCTTATCTTGTAGTATAGCAACGGGACATTATTTGAGCTTAAATAGACTTTGGGCATAAGGCTGTCACTTCAACCTAATCACTGCCTTCAAAACATAGATTAAAACTTCATTTCAAATACTTTTAAAAAATACCCCAAAATCGTTTGGTTTTGCTATTTTTCGGTTTCATTTATTTGACTTTATTTAGCATACACTGGTAGGATTAAAAAATATTAATTTTGGACTAAATTAAAATTTTTGTTGTTGTAATTCAGTATTGTTCGAAACCTCTCTAATAAGCAATTACAAAAACAATGATTTAATATTGATTTCATTTGTTTATTACATACAATGTTAATAAAAAATTAAAATTAGTTTGATTCAATTCGAATTCGAAATATGTAAAATCGAATACCATCAATACAATAATCAATACAACGATAGGATGATATATTTAAAACAATGAAAGCAACAGTTTCAAGGAAAGTAAGAAAAAATAGTAGTATACGAAGAAAACTGTGTTAGAAATTAATATTCAGAGAACTTTACATATTCTATATATGAACAAAAAAAAAACTACTTGGTTGTTGAAAGTGCGAAGAAATCTCTTCTTTATATGAATTGTTAGTGTTTAAATCGCTTCAAATATATTTGATAGCACGTAAAATGTTAAATGTTTTTATTTCGAATTCATGGAATTAAAATTATATGTGTAAATTTTATACCAAACAAACGGGGCCAAAAAGTTCAAAAGCGATTGCGCTTCGCATTGCAGATTTAATTCGGTAAATTTCATACTTAATAAAAATGGTGTGTTAATTTCATGTCACGGTTTGTGACAAGCTTTGAGTTAAGAATTTTTACGAGCTTAATTTTAAACTTTAAAGAAACGAGATTATAAGTAAGATTAAATATTTTTATGTCAAACATTTCTAGAGTTTTCTTTAATTAATAATAATTTCACTAATCTAAACTTCAAACTGTATATATAACTTTTAAGGGTTTCTTCAATAATATAAAATCTTGTTGATCTTAATTTTTATCTATCAAGATCAATCACATAATTCTCTTCAATTAATAAGTGTCATAATGATCGTAATTCTCATTTGTCGAAAACATTTTCAAGACCTTTTTTATCCCAACAGATTCTGTGTTTTGTTGCTGTTGTTTTTATTAATTCATATAGCTAGCAACCGATATTTATGGAAATCTAATGCAAATAGACTAATTTCTTAATTTACGCCTTTGATGTAAAGTTAGAACATGTCAAAAATAATAATTCTTGTTGATTCTTATTATTGCCTACGGACTACCAAGTAACAACTATTGCTAAAAGAGATTTGTAAATTAATTTTTAACAATTAAAATAGTTTTTATAGTATATTTTAAAAGCACATGACGTGCTTCTACAAAGATTAAAATTCATTTCAGAGTATTATGCTAGTCATCCTAATTAGTAGATTATTTAATCTTTTTTTATTAGAATAATAAATTTATTATTTATATTTATTTATTTGTAAGTTCGCACTCAAATTAATTTAAAAGTTAACTAAGAATAAAAAACTGTACTACTAAGCCCTTCGCCCTACCTAGAATAATATATTATTTCAGTACATTTCATAAGTCAGAAACAGCCTCTTATATGTATGGCATGTATGGGATATTACATTTTTTTTATTATTATTAATTTTCTATTTTTTATTTCATTTTAACGTCAATATGACAGTAGTGACTATTTTTACTTTAAGAGAAACTGTTGTATGTAATAGAGATTTTTCGAACAGTAATGAACTACAACAACAAAAATTCATTTTATATCATTTTAATTAATTAAATCAATGGCTGACCATACAGCTGTTTCGAGTATTGCTAAATAACCATCATCAGTGGTCTTGGTGTTATTTTTTGCATCTACTTATTTATAAATAATTTTTTAAGACTGTAAGTACCAGGGATTGAACTCCTGCGCTGCCAAATTTGAAGCTCAGAGTCAGCGTTCATTAGCTAACTGACCCAAAGCCGTACTTACATGCAATTTTTTTGAAATAATATAAAAATAATTTTTGTTGTTTTAGTTCACTACTGTTCGAAACCTCTCTATTTTTTTTATTTTATTTTATAATATTCAAATTTATTAATTTTTAGTCAGTTACTGTTTAATTTGTAATAGTGTAAGAATATACAACATAATTAGCCTATTAACGATGTTACCAGTAGCTTCATACTCTCACTTCTATATCTGTTTAAAATAAAAAAATCGATTCTTACTCATTTTAGGAATTATTATTATGAAATCGAATTTGGGTATGATTTATAGGAAGTAAAAATTAGAAATATAATTTGAGTTTTAAAAGAAGTGAAAATAGTAAACCTGGAACAGTTATTTTATTGTTTCTAAAATGATATTTTTTGGTTGGCTAAAAAGTAATTGGTTAGCTTGAGAAAATATCATCCATCACGAATTTTTATTTCATGTCAAGGTATTTTAATTTCTACTATCAGCAACTAACATTATAGAAGTAATAAATAAAAATAATTGACATCGAAATTGTTTAAGGATATTATGTCTTATTACGATAACACTAAATCCAAGCTCATAGTATCTCCTGTAATATATGTCTATCGGCGCTTGAAGAAAAGACACCAGAACACCTGGTGTGTCTATATTGAAGCTTGTCCAGAACAAGGCTTAAACTCTTGAGTGCCCCATTCTTTAACATACTCTGCAATATTTCCAGCATTAACATTGGTCAGACAATTGCATTTATCAATGTTTTTGTCAACTTCTTCCATAATTGTTCCTCTACCCACCATTACGGAGAATTGTGGAATCAGAACAGCCTACTTAGCTTATTGAGGAAGATTCGTTCCTCCCTTTATTTCACCTAACCTATGACAATGCTTAGTTAGGTTAATCTGACTGTTTGTAAGCCACGCACAGCCCTATTAGTCCCGTATTATAACAGATAGACTTAAGCCTATAAGTAAATTTTATAGTACATGTTTTTGAGAATCTAACGAGTGCTTTATTTCTTTTTCTCAGACAGAGATATCAAGCTATTTTTGTGCATATATTTGAATCAATAGTTATTGAAATTTGTACCCAGAGCCTGCGTTCCAAGTTATAGTACATACAAGTTTTGTCAGTAATAGGGTGTATAGACCAAAAAAGGCGATTATCGATGGTTTATGACAAAATTATATTTTATACCTACCTACCTAGTTATTATATACCTAGTTTTTGCAAGCCGAAAAAATGGTTGAGTTGTCTTGGAAGTTTTGTTGTACTTACTGATTAGTTCTCACATTACATCGTAAGATTTTCATTTGTTTTAAATACATTAGTATTATATTGATAGTTAAAAATTAACTTTACGAAATAAGAAAAAAAAAACACTGAAAGATATTTTCTAAAAACGAATTATTATTCTGATTAAAAATGGCAAAAGGTTATCAATATAAATATTCCTATTAATATAAATATATATTCTATATATATATAAATATATATTCTATATACATATAAATATATATTCTATATATATATAATATATACATATATAAAAATTTGGTTTTGAAGAAGTGCTATATGCTTCTTACTGATCTCAATATTATTTCTTAAGAGTCTTTGTAGTATATACAGAACCTAAGAACATGTTAAGGACATATCCATTTCCAATATTTGTTAATATTAAAACTTCCTGTCATATAACGTTAATTTTAAGATTTTTCACATTGAATAAGTATTAACATAATAATTTTGAGTTCCTAGAATATTTTTTGAGTAATAAAAACTAATTGGTAAAAGGACTAAATTGAAAAGGGTCAGAATTTCTTTAATCTACACATTCGAACTCATTCGCTTACCTGTTAATCTAAGGACTAACCAATATTAATAATTATCTTTTGCCATATGTTAGAGTTTAATAATTATTGCTTAAAATTAGGTAATAAAATCTTTTTGTTCTATTTTGGTGACAAATATTTAGCTTGTATATAGCACAGGTATACAAATAACCTTTAGAGGATATCGTAACTGTTATTGTTCTCCAATAGTACCTGATGGGCAATATTAACCGTGTCCTTGGTGTGTTAATATATGCAAAGTCTAAAATTAGAATAGTAATTTCGAACTAGGAAGGTTGAGGCAATGTAATATATGATATAGGGTATTGTGTTAACCATTTAACCATTTAGTTCTAAAAGTTTTTATTTAGTTTATAGATTGCAGTATCGAAAATAAGTCTTCAGTACAATATAAAGATTCGAAGTGATAACGTTGAAACAGTGATAAAACATTCGTAGTCTTAATAGTGATGTGTTTTAGCTATTGCGTTAAATAAATGATACAATAAAATATAATTAAATTATTTATATTTGAATATATGAGTTTAATTTTGCTTGGCAAAAATATATTATAATAAATGTGTAAACTGTTATTTGTACGGTTGTTTTATGAAAATTTGTATAAAAATAAAATTTAAATATTTTAATTAAATTTATTCTAAAAGTTAATTGTTTTTGTGATTCTTTTATAAACAGTCATTGATTTAAAATTAAAAAAAAAACATACTTACGGAGTCTTTCAGAAGTGCAATTGTATTATAAAAAATTTATAAAACCATTAATTTGGCAGCTTAAATACTAATTAATTAAAAATTAACAATATACAAAGTGAAAAACAAATTAATTAAAATTAATCAAAAATTTGCAAAAAAATATATTAATAATTTTTTCATGAATTTAAAAAAAATAATGCCATAGTCCAAATAATCCAACAACATAAAAAATAAAATAATAATTAATCGAAGTGTTTGCATATTTGTTTCAGTGTATTATAAAAATTATATAAAAAAAATTTATTACAATAAAGTAAATACGTGTATAAACAAAATTATATTTATAAGAAATTAAAATACTTCGAGTTTAAACAATTCTGTGGATACGGATTATCAAATTAATTGTGAATATTGACATCAGGACCCCGATACAATATCATGATGCTGCAAATTGGGAATTTCACAATTATTTTTTATCTAATATTAGGAAGTAATGCGCATATGATGTTTGTCGATCAGATGGAGCAAGAGGATCCTCAAATATACATGATAACTGCTTGCACCGCTAAGTGTCTAAGCACATATCGACAAAAATTGCTCGAACATACGCAAGAGCAAAAATATGAAGCACTCCTGCATTCGAATCCTGTGGTAAGTACGAATAAAATAAATAAAAATTTTATTTTAGAAAATTTAGAAAATCATCCTTGACAATTATTAACTTAAATATGCTGTGAGCAGATTATACTGTAGTTAAGGAATATCCACAAAACATTAATATTGCCCTGCAGTTTTGTAGTCAATATCCTTGTAGCTAATCACTCATTTACATTGGCAGGCTGTAAAGCAATTTTATAAAGATTAAATTTTTCATTGATTTTCCCCTTCTTCCCGAAAAAAAACTTTATCTATCTTTGGTTACGGATAATTTCAGACATGGCTAGAAAGTTAAAATTTGTTGTTTACGCAACATATACCGCCGCCTCAAATAGCTGGAAAAATACTTAACAGCCACAGATTTCAGATACATTTAGATTTGTGGATTTAATAAAATTTAAAACAAATTTTTAACTTTTAACCACATTTAAACGTTGTGTGAAGAGTGTTTAATTTATTTTTTATTAAGAAAAGTTTTTGGTACGAAAAATTTGTATATTCCCTTATCCCTTTTTACGCACTCTATCTGAAGACGTAATTTTCATAATAATAAGTCAAATAATTAACTTAAGTCTAATTAATTTAATCTAAAATTAAATTTATAAAAATTTGATTTTAAGCCAATATTAAATGAAACTTATTTCACGAATATTTTTTAATTGGCTTATACTGTAGGAGAGTGTATGGTACCCTTTGGATTTAATTTATTTTTGCTCTTTGACATAGCCTGTTTTGGGAGTCCCTTCTATTCAATTAATTAAAGCAATTTTTTAATTAACACATGTTCTTAAAAAGAAATAAGTTGAAAACTGAATTTAAAAAACAAGGGCTGATTGCTCTTCGATAGTCGTCATTATTATATGCTCGTAGACATAATTATAGACATTATTCAGTGGGATACCAGAATTTTCACATAGAATTATTTTTGGAACATATTTTCAAGAGATGAATCTATTTCCTAATCTTCACCTAGATGTACAGATGGTTAGGTTAGCTTGGAGTAGCGGTTTCGTACTCAAAGCCCACTCAAATTCAAATAATGGCCTTCTGTGATGCATAGATGATAGTACTTGATGCAATCTATAAATTTAAAAATATACAATCAAATATCGAATGAGGTTGAATCAGCTTTTCAGTATATTTTATAAATTATATAAAATACAATCTAATATTAGAACAGGTTGAAAGTGTTTCAGGGTATCTGAATCCATACGTAACAACTAAATAATAGTCAGTGATATACCTGATCAGGTTGAATAGCTACATAGGATATCAATATATATTAATCAATATAATACATGATGATTAAATAAAATACAATCTAATATCGGCGTAGGTTATATATGAGATAAGTTCTTACATTTTTATGATATATGATTTTTATGAATCAATGTTTATACATATACATGATAAATAGTTAATATGCAATCTAACATTGGATCAGGTTGTGAATACCTTCTTATAATATATTAATTACATTGATTAATAAAGGATATTAAAATCGATTTTGCATATTTGAGATATATTAGAAATAAGTTCTACACATAAACCATGGTTGTAGACATAAGGCAGATTTCGTAATATTTTACCATTTCGTAAAAGAATTTGTTATTGGTTTACTTAAAATCTTATATATGCTACAAATTCATCATAAGCTCTTACTTACAGTGAGATACTGAGTCTTGATAATCTGCTTATACTAAGCACTATATTGAGTTAAAAGAGAATAGTCTTTTAAGTCAACAACTCAATTCAGTTATTCGGTCATAAGTCCTATCAAGAGTGTGGACAGCCACAACATTGCGGATACCATTTGGTAGCCTATTGTATGATATTTGTTTTATCTCTTTGGAGAGAGGCGTTGACTGATCCAACTCCATTTACATTCGCGTAGGGATAATTGTTTGCACTCTACAGTTCTATATTATTTATTTGATTGGTTAACGAAGATTTGGAGATACCCATTAACTATGCTTATGTTTTTTCATATCTGATACTTACAGAGAAGAAAATATATTATGTTAGTCTTGTATTTGGCATTAAAAATCATAGTTTCTTGTGGATATATAATTGTGTTGTACTTTATGGTACATAAATATTTCGAAAAGCTTATGAACTTTGGAAATAGTCAGGATGGTGAATAATTTAATGGTATATAAGGAAATTCAAGGTTATGTTTAAGAAGTACTACTATAATTATACTCCTTAATTCTGACCATATATTTTCGTTCACTCTGTTATACTGGCCCTTAGTATAAGTAATTTTTTTAAGTGTTATATGTCGATAGTGTATTATAAGAATACGTTATTTATTTGATTCCATAAAAATAGTTAGTGAGATACGTTGTCTGTTTTAAATATTTTTACTACTGAATTTATTTATTTATTTTTAAACAAAAATACTTACAGCAACCTTTTATTTCCGTTTTCAGTATCTTGAAGGCTGTCATAACTTTTGTAAATTCAACCGCACCTCGAAATTGCAAAATACAAAGAAGATATATGAAAATTTTAATTTAAAATTGGTGTGTCGCGATGATAGAAGTCTGAAGTTTCGTGTCGAATTGGAAACTCACAGAAATGTTTACCGCATTAATCAAACTCAGACGCTGAATTCAAATTTGAATAACTCAAGTGAAACCACAGAACAGTTTAAAGATAATGTCACGATGCAGAATCCGTTTGTGGATACGTTATTTGTAGTCCAATTATTCACTAAAGCATATGTTTTGGTTTATGTGGTGAGTATTAGAGGCAAAAACAAATCGCTTATACATAAAACATTATATATGTATATAAAAGGTTTTTTATTTACATTTTATAAAATTAAATAATAAAAATTTTTTTTATTTTTTTATATAATGCTAATTCATGATGTAGTCGGATGACAGTTTTTTTACGCTGACTAATCTCTCATACAACACAAGCTATAACATATCAGTAACAGCAGTCCATGCTACAAATGAGTACTCGGTCATAGCCAAGGAAGAACAATTCTCAACTTTAACATATGGATTTACTCCGAGCAAAGTGACAAAAATACAGATCAACAATTTTCTTACAGATAAAGATGATAAACTGAAATTGAAAGCTATGATATCTTGGAAACCAGCTGCCGGTATGTGTATTAATTAATTATAACAATTTCATTAAATATAAAATTAAATTTAAATTAAATTATAGTTAAACAGTTAAACAAGTCTATTTCATACTAATTTTATACTAGCTTCTTTCCCTTTCCTTATTCCTTGTTTCTGGTATTTAAAGCCATGTTAATGATGGGTTGAACCCAACAATAAGAAAATATTCATATTTCATATCCATATTTTTAAATCTATTGTCTCTAATTAACAAGAAGGGTGACTTATCTCAACTGTTTGATTTGAATGTATTTTATATACAAAATATAGAAATAAAAATGTAAGCTGGTACCTACCTCTTCATATGACAGTCCCGTCATATTGTTCGATTAAGTCCATTAATATCTTTTTATCTGATAAAAGTATTCTTTTACTTTGAAATTATTTAAAATTTTACTTTGCTTAGAACAATTATTAAATTTACTAATTTAATTTAATTTATTTATTTTATTAATACATAATTTTTCTTATATTTATAGATATGACATGCACATATGATATTATATGCTTTCCGGTAACAGGCGGAGGTAATGATTTGAATCCTTTGGAAATTAGAAATGTAAGTTATATACATAGTTAATTTATATGACTTTCTTTTTCTTAAACACACACTTATATATAATTATATATATAATTTATAATTTAATATGAGATAAATTATTACATTTATATATTTTATATATTTAATTTATACAATTTCATTTTCATTAATAGCATTTCTTCATAAAATGTTAGTATGAATAGATCTGGCATAGACCAATGTCTATGGCAGATCTATACTTTCATTTTTCATTCTTGTTGAAATAAGAAAGAAATAAGAAAGATGGTACTATCAGGTTTCAAGTGTACAATAACTGTAGCAGCTAAACTAACCTAGTGTCGAGCATAATAGTGATAGAAATATATCTTTCAAGCTTGGTGGCATTAGTGCTAGGTGGCACTATTGTTTGTGGCACTACTACTAGATGGGTTCTTTCACTATTAGTATGAACTTTAGTAGTTTGTTGTTCCACAAGTCATACTCAAGCAATATGGTTTTTGCTGGTGAATATGATGTCACTCTGACGAAAGCAAAGTAGGATGAATCCAATTTGATGATGTTAACTAGGAGTATTTAAACTAAGATTTTCAACAAAACGAGTCAGTTAAGTCATAGATTTTCAAAAAAAAATGAGTTATCATTTTTTTTCTTAGCCAAAGACATTTAAATATTTTCCGTTTTACACAAACTAGGTTGACATTTTTAGATACCTTATAATTCAACTATTTTTGTAGGCTTTACTTTTTAGAAATTTTTTCAATAGTTGCGTATATTTAAGTGGGCGTTTAGCGGTACGTTACCCACACTATCCATTTAATGCTTAGCTGATTGGTAATGTGTGTAGGCATCCTTCTAACATATCTACTTAGCTATAGTAAAAGCAAATAGGCAGTAGAATTCATTTTTATACATTCTATGCATTTTTAGATGGCTCGCATACCGCATTGTCGCATAGCGCCATTGAAAATTTTCTTTGAGATATCCTTAAACCTAAAGCTGCAAAAAAAAAAAACAAAAAAAAATTGGTAACTTTATTTTATTTAATATATATAGTATATATGTAAGTACATGTGAACTACATGCAAAGTGTAGAGCAGCAAGGGCAGCATTTTTTACCAAATAAAATATGCAGATATTCAATATGAAAAGGAAATGAAATCAGACTAGTCGAAAATTCAATTCATTGCATAAGTAGACATGTAAAATGGGTAAAATGGGACTCAAGACCCAAAACGTTATTTGTTCTACAAATTCGAAAGCTATTGAAAACGGTATCCTTTTCATGTCGCTGTACAAATAAACTGTTGCTTCACAAATCCAAAGTCCTTTTGATGTTTTGTGTATGTTTATTTACTTAAGAATGTGAAATATTTCAAATGAAAACAAAACAAGGATATTTGTATTCTATTTAAAATATAAATACTTCCATGTTTAGTATTTAAATTTAAATTTTGGCTTCTATGTGTATTATTTGCTTTAATTATCATTGGTAATTAAGGCACAGAATAAAATCGAATAAAAAAGAAAACTTAAAAATAATGTGAATGAAAAGTTTAAAAAAGTTTTACTTGGTCCCTTTGTTAGGTCATCCTGAAGTACCCAAGCCCTTTAAAGATACTTAGAAAAATAATTTCATTGTACACGTTATTTCTTAATATCTAGTCACCACAAAAACCACAACCTGTAAGGTCATCTCTCCCTGAAAAAGTATTCCAAATTTAACTTAGATAGAGTAGAGGCTACTAATTAACAATACAACACTTTTTCAAATTTTTTGTGAATTGAGAGAACGTTGTTAAGGATATGGAATTAGTTTCCTGATGCTAAATATATGAGTATATATTGTTATACTCTCTACAGAATTTACATTAGCAACCTTTAGTCGTGTTTGAGATAGGTTCATAATATACTGATATATGAGTTCTAAATATATACGAATCAACTCAGAGTATGAACATTTTTATTACTAAAATTATTACTGAATTTGTTAATTAGTTTAATTAATTTTGTATAACGTTAAAGAATTTTTATTCTTAATTTTATTATTTTAAATGAAAATACTTTAAAACTTAAATTAATTATAATTTTAAAGCAATGTAAAAAGCTAATTATTTGATAATGAATTATTTGTTTTGATTATTCCAATACAGCCACGTCAATTATATACATACACGCTTGAAAATTTACATTTCTCTATGGAATACTCATTGGGTATACGTGCCAAAAATCCTAACACCATTTCAAGGGAAAGTGAACTTTTCTGGTCTAACTTTGTAGTACCCTCATGTGTTGAATGGTATAATTACGATTTTAATATATGTGGTAAGTTGACATGTATTAAAGTTATTATTAAACTTAAATTTAAAATTAATTTGAAATTTAATTTTTTTAAAGTGGTTTCGAAAAATGCAAAATTTATTTTTAAATTTATAAAAAAATAAATAAACAATAATTAAAGATTTAATTTTTTTAATTAATTAAAGATTAAACTTTTTTAAACATATTAAACATTTAATTTTTTTAAAATTGTTAAAAAATAATTAAACATTAATTAAACATTTAATTTTTTCAAATTTGTTAAAAAATAATTAAACATTTAATTTTTTTAAATTTGTTAAAAAAAGATTAAACTTTTTTATAATTTTTTTAAATTTGTTAAAAAATAATTAACATTAATTAAACTTTTAATTTTTTTAAATTTGTTAAAAAATAATTAAACGTATAATTTTTTTAAATTTCTTAAAAAATAATTAAACATTAAATTATTATATAATTTTTTTAAATTTGTTAAAATATTAAAAATTTTAATTTTTTTAAATTTGTTAAAAAATAATTAAACATAAGTGTTATATTAAAATGCCAGTAAAGTTCGGAGCAATGTTATGATTTTTATTTAATGTATCTTTCCCTTTACAAAGGATGATATTTGCAAACCTTTTTGATGCTGTGTTTCATCAAAGTTTTATCAATTAAATATTTGCATGTAGAAGAAACCTTTTTATAATTATTATTTGTTTATTAAAATGTTAGATTTCAATTTACATAAATGTATTTTTTTATTTTTTATAAAATAGCACCTCTCGCACCGACTGGCTTAGACGCAGAGCAAATATTTATTGGTGAAAATGAGTTTTCCGTAAATATAAGCTGGAATAAGCCTGAGTATTTCCCGGATTACTACACTTTGCGCATCATGGATATAGATGAAAAAGGCAATGCTTTTACCTTTAACGTCAGCAAAGTAAGTGAAATACTTGATATTAAATTTATCAAAATTATATAGGAATTATATTAAAATTGAGTAGTATCAGTAATACAGTAGTATCAGCAGTTATAAATAATAACATCACGTACTTGACTTTTACTTTGGTTTTGACTTACTGACAAAACTTGCAGTTCAGAGGTTTTTTTAATCTTATTTATTTCGCATAAATTTCATAAATTCATCATAAATAAATTATTTCTATTAAATTGAAATTTTGTTTGAGTTTTTAAATGCAAATTTCAAGATTTAAAAATAAAATCGCAATGTTGTTACAACCGTAAATTAAGTTTCGTTCGCTTTTCCAAGAAAAATTGCTATCTGTGCATTATTATTGGATTTTGTTATTGTATAGAATTTCTAAGAATTTATATTGAAATTTCACAGGACAAGCATTTTGAGAATTCCATATTATTTCAAAGACGTAATAAGCTTTTAATTTCTCTGTGCGTACGTCAAAGTATCAAAGTACGCCGTAAAACTGCAAAATATTTACAAAAATTCAAAGCAATTTACGCCATTTATTGTCAAATTTTTCCCGCCATGGAGATTTCGTAAGTCAGTCTACCGTAGCAACTATGTTAGTGCAATTATTGTCAAAACATAATAAACAAAATATAAAACGTTATATATATATATTAGGGTGTCCCAGGGTATAAGGGCGAAATTTTTTTTTTCGATTTGAAATACGCATACCTCTTATTTTTTTTCTATTTGATACTAGTAACTAAAATAATAAATATTATTGGTATCGGATAACGATAACCCGTGCCGACTTGATCCCAAACTTTTAACAGAAAGTTTGTATTGAAACTATAGAAGACAGTTTAGACCTTCATGTTTATTTAGTAAATAAAACACTATTTTACCTGTCTCTTATATTTATTAAGTATTTATTATTAAAATGATGTTAATTATTTAATTTTCGTTTTAGAGTTTGTTTGTTACAGTCAGGATAAACATATCTGTGTTCTTGTACGCAGCGTAGTAAAAATTCCTTTTGTTCGTCTTCAACAGTGATTTTGCCATGAAAGTCTTGCATTAACTTAACCGCTCTTTCTGCTGTATCATTAACTGCTCGCAGTGTCAGCACCTTATTTTTAGCATGTTGAAATGAAGCATTACTAGACCATGAAGTAGGACATTCGTTGAGAAAACTGTCATCAATTTTGAGTCGATTAAACAAAGCCTTGCTTTTCAATGAAACAAAGTCATCGATGTTTTTCTCGTAAAGTGAACCACAAAGTTCATCTTTTGAAGGGATATATCGTTTACTGTGGGCTGATGGGTTTTCTTTGGCTAAGTTATTAACTATTTTTGCCTTTCTTTCATAATCAACATCATCGTCGAATAGGGACAAGACAGCCACTTCATCAATTAAATACCATAAATGCTGACAGAACTTTTGTAAAACTGTTTTTGAGATAATTTTGTCAATTGTTTCATAAGCCTTCATGGTCTTCAGAAAACACAAATCCTGGTAAGGTGCTTTTACCGCTGAAATGCATTGCAGCCAAGGTTTGACGTAGGATGTCACGATGAAAAGGCAGACGTCTAACAGAGCCGCTTTATCCTTGTTAGACATTATAAATTGAGAGCTAAGTAATGAAATTTTTAATAAATAAATTGCCCTCGCCATCCATCGCGCTTGGTGCATGGCACCTGGAGGTCGAATCTTAAATTTCTTTTCTGTATCTCCACCAAGGAATATTATTGAAAGCTCTATTAATTCTCTATAGTCGTTTCTAACAATTTTCTTAGTCAATTCAGTTCGATAAAATTCCAGCAGTTTGTCAATTTCTGAAGCATTCAAGTAAGATAACCTTTCTGTAGGATACTGTACTTTCTTAGGATCGATATTTGTCCAGTTTTCTTGTAACCTTTTGAATAATGGAATGTTAGGATTGTTAGTAACTTGACTAATTTTAGCATCAAAAACGCCTTTCAATATCAATTCGTAGATGTGATGACGGCAAGCAAAAATAAGCATATCTCGATTAAATTTTTGTTCGAGAAGCACACAAGCACCATTAATACGACCAGTATTTGAACCAGTAGTATCACAACAAAGGATTTGCACTTTATCTTCGAGATTCCAGTCAGTAACCGCATTCCAAACTGCCTGTGCCTGTTCACTTCCTGTACAGTTGTCTAATTTTGGCACCGCAATAAGTTGTTCTTTATCACCATACGAAATAACAATCGGGAGACGTTCTTCTCTACATTTGCGGACATCTAAAGCCGGCAACAGTTTGCCATCCCAATGGACAGTTACAATGTCTGGTACTTCGTTTTGGAAATCGACTTTAATAATTTCTGCACGCTGTTTTCGTTTTTCTGTGCGAATTCTTTGAATGGAGGACTTGCTTATAGGAAATTCGTCAGTATTGTGTCCAAGTGCCTCAAGAGTAGCTTCAATAATAAATACAGAATTTCTCATACTTAACTGACACCTATCTAAAGCTGCCACTAACTTTGGAGTGATAAAATTTTTCCTTATAGAAGTTTTTTTAGTAGCGGACTGCGCAGTCCCAGTTTGGATGGGTAAATTTTCTTGTAGATCCATTATTTCAGAATCAGAAGATAAAGTTTCGTGATAAGATATCGTCGAAGCAGTTAAGGATAAACAATAATTAGCACGACGCTTTTGTTCCTCAATGTTTCTAAGATGCGCTTTTTCCTCTTTTTCGGCTAATTTTTTGTCCGCTCCAGCTAAGTAACCAGGTCGACCTGGCTCTCTCTGGCGCTGCAAGAAGATTTTATCTTCATTTATCTTTATTAATTTAAGCGCGTCAGCATGTGCAATGTCAAACAAATTGTCTAAGTTTGTAATAAACTCTTGTCGACGCTGCTCGTACACGTATTGTGTTTTGTTCGCATTTTTCTGCAAACCTCTCCAAACTTGGTATAATGTAATTAACTTCTTAACACAGTTAGGTATAGCTTTAGTTGGTATACGTGCCTTTTCCCAATAAATAATGCACTCACGAATAGTAAGATTTGCGCTTTCAGTAATACTTAAATTCACTTCACGAATGTTGTAGAACAGAACTGCCAATACTTGTCCATTAGAGGGAAGTTTTGAACCAGTGATTTGATGTTTTACATCCCCAATTAAAAATATTTCCTTTTTAAAACTGCGTAATCCTATTGACATATTGATTGAATCAAAATAATGCGCTTACTACTAAAACAAACAAATAATAACGAGCACTGCAATAACTTTGCTGTGATGCGCTAAAGGATGCAAGTTCTGACATGTTTCGACAAGTCGGCACGGGTTCCTTTATTTCAAATGACACGAAAATTTATTTACAATTGTTTTGACACTATTCAAACATAATTACAGGGTATGCGTTGAAAAAAAAAGAATTTGATTTTTTTGGGACACCCTAATATATATAATTCGTGTATAAAACAAATAGTTTAAAGTCATAAATTCACTAGTTTTTAAAGAAGAAAAATGGAGTAACTCTGCAAACCACAGGGGTTCTTTATCTCCCAGGGATATTCCTCGCAAAAATATTAGACCCTATGTCCCTATATCTGATTAGTTACCATATCTATAAGAAATGGAATTATTTTTCTCCTGATTAAATATAATACATAATGCCTGTCTTGGCAATAGGATAGCAAGAGCATTGAAAGTCATAAACGTTATTCCCGTCTTTGTAATAGGATAGCAAGAGCATTGCTTTATCTGGATAGTTGCCATATGTAAAAAAAAATAGAACGGCTTGTTGGAAAATGGTTCCCTGGTAAATTGTTTATTATTTCCCTGCTTAAAATACAATGTGTTATGCTGGCTTTGGTTATCAACACAATGCAATAGAACAGCTTGTTGGAGAATGGCTCCCTGGTAAATTATTCATTAGTTTCCTGCTGAAAGTACAATAAGTTATGTCTGTTTGTAAAAGCAAGATTATTGCTTAATCTGTCGAGTTGCCATATCTAAAAAAATAGAGGGCTTGTTGGAAATGTTTTATCCAACATGTTGTCAACATGTGGCAAAGGAGAACGGCTTGCTGCAGATGTGTAGACCTCACCACTGACTGAATAGTATGTTTCTCGACCATGATTTTATACCATTGCCTACTGAAAGTATTTTATGATGTTTTAACTCACGTTTGTCTTCTATTTCATATGCATTAGGGTTGATTAACTGACCTTTTGTTAAAATACTAAAATTAAATTGAACATCGGGGAAAAATCTTACCAAGAAGTAATGTTTATGTTGGACGATATTTATAAAAAGTTTATTATTCAAATATTGACCACAACAAATCAATATTTAAACAAATCTTAATCATAGACAGGAGATAAAAAATGATGAAAATTCAATATGCTGCTTCATAGATTTTAAGGACAACTAAGACGGCATATTCAGATCGAATTAAACGTATTGTAGAGAGAACTCAACATTCTTAATATATAACATCCTTAACAATACACACGACAGTGTTTATAAACTTTAACGAACTTAACCATCTTCTCAATCCTGCATTGGAGAATATAGTAATATGTTGTTGTAATCAGAAGAGACCTACGTAGTATGGTGTAGATCGGGAAACTCGCATCTTACAACATTCAATAAGATAGTTAACAATGACGTGTTCAATTTACAAATCAGAGAATAAACTAAGTTTAGATCTATTTCAACTGAGAAACCTAATAGCATTGTAATTATAAGCAAAACGATGATCCTATATGATTTTTAAGTAGTAGATTATTTTAGAAATTTTAGTAAATATTTAATACAAGTTGTTGAAGAATAAATATATTTAAAAAAAATAATATATTATTTGTTTATTTGTGTATATAATAAATGTATTATTTATTTGTTTTTAGGCAGCGACATATTTTCTTATACCGCAAATAACTATTTATGGCAGTCATTATGAAATTCATTTAACAGCTTTCACAGCTGGAGGAAAAACTTCAGCCTATATAGATAATCCAATTAAAACGATTGTGATGATATCGGGTAAGTAAAACTAAAAAAAAAATAGAAATTAAAAAAAAAAAAATTAAATATATTTTAAAGGTTCTAATATTATATTTTCTTTCATTGAATTCTTAGATAACAACGATCTCACAAATATCATATCCGTTGTCTTGGCTTCTATATTATTCGTAGTAATAATGGGGTTGACTATATTTTTAATTTACTACCGAAAGGCTAAACTTAAACGTCATCAAGAACGTAGTAAATATTTTGAGGTAAGAATTATTTTTAATAATAAATTGATTTTCATATAATTTTATTATTTTGTTTAAATGTAATTTATTAAAAAAATATTAAATAAGCATTAACTTTTATTACGTGCAGTTCAGTTCCAACTCTCCAAAAATTTAACCAAAAATAATATAAACAATGTAATAAAAAAATTCTTTTTAAATATATTTTAAGGAACTGGAGAGGAAGACTCCAATTACTGATAAATCTGTTACAGATTATCCTAAAAATACCCTCTTCACTGTTGCTACTAAGGAATCAGCCAATTTTCAGCCACACTTTGATGATGTTACAATTTTTAATGATGACATGGAAATTGACCGTCACGATGTTGAACTGTTGGAAATTCTCGGTGAGGGTGCATTCGGTTTTGTGCGCCGCGGCATTTACAAGGACAAGAATTCAGGTCCACGTGAAGTGGCTGTTAAAATGCTTAAAGGTAAGTGTTTTGCTAATTTATAAATTTCACAATTTGTTTGCATATTTGTTATTGTTTTTATTCTACTTAGTATATTTAATAGGTTTAATTTCATAACAAAATAATTTACATACTTTTTGAAAAGCTCTTATTATTTATTTAAATTTAAATAAATTTTACTTATATATTGTAATATTTGTTATACTTCTATAAAATTTATTTTTATTTTTTTAATTTTATAGATCAACCTTTAGTGGAAGATATGCGTGCTTTCCGACGAGAAATTGAAGTAATGAAATCGGTAGATAAACATCCGAACATTGTTGGAATCATTGGTCACTGTACTAAGTGCCAAAATGGTATGATGCTTTTGACTGAATATTGTAGTTTTGGAAATCTACTTGATTTCTTGAGGTGAGTAAAATTTTAAAGAAAGAATTCACAGAATTTTGTCTTTAATTTTACTTAGACACAGTTTCTAGCACTTAGGTTATTTTATATTTGATTCAATTTCGATAAATAAATATTTTATAATATTATAGTCAGTCCACTGGTCTGACTTCAGGAGATAAAGTGTTTTTTTCAAATTTATAATATATACATAATTTATAATTATTAATTAATTATTTATGAAAGCATAGTTCTGGGTATCTTGAAGAGTTTTTTTAATCGTATATATGAAAATGTATGTTCAGTTTGAATTTATATGTAACCATAAGTGGCAAAGTAAAAGTGTTGTTTTTACAAGGATATACAAAAAAATATATAAGCACGGGATTAGTTAGAAATCGAAAAAGGTAAAAAAAAATAGTCAATGGTGTCCCATAGGCGCAGCTACTGTTCTTATATCGTCGACCAAAACACTGTAATCTGTTTTTAATTTATGGGAAAATCTTCGTTTTCGATCTATCACATTGTTGAGAAGAGGTTTATTCATTAACACAGCAACCGTCTTTTCACTATAAAATATTAATAATCCAAGAGAGAGTACCGGTTATATTTCTGCCCTTAGCTCGTGAATATATGGAAAAAATTTATTAGTTATTACTCTTGTTATTTTGTGGATTTATAGAATAGTTTTTCATTTTTTTGTTCTTGTTCATTTTTTTGTTAGGTTGAAGTAGTGGCCTTACATTACATGGGTCTCTGGTTATTAATTTTGATATTTTAAACCTTAATAATTAGTAAATATTAAAAGTCTTTTTAAAAGAAATAAATATTAAATTATAAAAATAGTGTAATTGATAACATTTTAAACATTTTTTAAGATAAGTAAGATTTTTCTTTGTTAGGTTGAAGTAGCGACTTTATGTCCTATGGTTCTCTAGTTATTCATTTTAATATTTTAACTCCTAATAATTAATAAATATTAAAAGCCTTTTTAATAGAAATAAATATTAAATTATGAAAATACTCTAATTGATAATACTTTAAGAATTTTTTAATATACATAACTATAATATAATATTCCATTGTTCACTTCCTTTATTTGCCTATTTAAATATTATTTAATATTGCATATTGTGAATATTAAAAATGAAGCATTTAACCTGTAATTTGTAAAGAAAATTGGAACAATAATTAATGTATGCTCATGTCTTACAAAAACATTTTTCATTTCACTTCTAATTATTATGGCTTCCTGCCAACACAAAGGATGTGGGTGCCATTTTGTCCACTCATTATATCCTGAGCTTTTTGAAATCGTGACAAGGAGGGCATATTGAATACTTAACTTAGCTTTTGTTATTGTTTTTTAACCTTGCGTCTACCTCTCGTTGTCAAGACAAAAAATGTTAGTTAGTAACAATTTTAAGTAAATATGTGCCTTGAAATTTTAAAAGGTAATTAGTAAAATTCCATTTTTGTTTTTTATCCTTTTTGCATTTCATTTAAGAAGCGTTAAGTATTTTCGATTTAAAAATTTTCAGGAAATATTTGTGTAATTTTTTGTTATTCATTTAGTACTTTTAGATTTGAAAAAGATTTTTATGTCTGGAAAATAATTATTAAGTCTGGAATTTGTGTTTCGAATGAATTGTAGGAAAAATATCAGAAAATATGTACTTATTGAATTGATTGAGTTTTTAACAAAGGATAATACCTACTTTGCTCTTTATCAGTGTTAATCAACTGTTTTTGCGATACGCCCCATTTAACATTTTAAAAAATATCTGTATCCACTATCCTCCCAAGCGTCATTTCTTTCTTATTTAGTTAGACATTACAAACCAGAGTCCTCCTTCGCTGCGTCTAATAGACTCCACCAGCTAGCCCGATCAGTTGCTTTCTATTGCCAGTTGAAAGTACCAAGTGCCTTTAGGAGTTAGTGACCTGGTGGTTCCACCGAATATGCGAATGTCCTCTACCGCGTTTTCCACCAGCGAGGATTTAATCAAACACCTTTTTAATCGGTGACATGACATGACCAAGCCAAGAAAGCTCTTGAGTTTTTATACGTTTAATTATGTCATTGTCACTGTATAGCTGGTACATCATTCCATCTAAATCTATACTCACAACGTATAAGAGACAGTAGATCTTTCGAAAAATTTTGCTTTTGCCCTCTCATCATTGTTGGTAATTGTCCAATATTCTTCACCATACAGCAGGACTGGCATGATAAGAGATTTGTAGAGCTTAAGCAGATTAGTTAAATATATATAACTTTGCGAACGACCAAAGACAAATAGTATCCCCTCATCTCTCTCAGAAATAGTCCTTTACTTTTACTTGTGTACAGCTATATTAGTTCGTTAAAATAAGCGATGTTATCCTAACTCAACAATGTCGACTAACCTGTAATTACAAAAAACCCTTCTTAACAATCGAAATATTTCCCTAAGTGGGTACGCCTTACTTTGATAAACATTGCTCTACAAAGAGCTTATAAAGATTAGGAATTATTTTTCTATATTTGAATTAATAATATCTATATGAATACATCTGTAATGTTTAATCCATTACAGAAGTATTCATATGGGCAATCAAGATTTAATATATACAAACCTTTCACATTAATATATATATATATATATATAT